TGGGATGATGTTGAAAGCAAGAGGAGAGTACAGTCAGCCTTTAACTGGGCTGCAAGCTGAGTAGGTGGTATAAGGGTAGGGAGGGGAAAGCAAGACCAAAACTGATGAAACCATTTCTGAATGGAATTAAAACCCTCTAATAGGAGCTTGAAGAGAGGAGAGGAATCATGTTGTTTTGGTAATAACTTTAGTCACTGAAAGAAAACGCATGTTGAAAGAGTGAGGCCTTGTCTAATTGCATGGCTGAGCACTTTTAACTCCTAATGTGTTTAAAAAGGCACAGCCACCTGAAGTGGACAGTTAAAGACTGGTAATTCCTGAGCTCATAAGAGAATGGGGGAAGCACTACAGCTAAGTGCATGCTGTACATGAGACAGATACACAGAAACTGATGGCTGATGTGGAGGAAATGGGCAGCAAGAAGTGAAAAACAGCTGAGACATGAGGACTGGAAGTAATAGGAGGAGGCTGGTGAGAAGAAAGGTGAGGGGTTAGATCCATTATTGTGCATTTCTCCTGTATTACAATTAATAATTTGGGCACTCTTGAGGTGATGAGAATAATACTAAAAGCACATTCTTCTCAATTTATGTGTGTCTTTCCAATTTCTGTCTCTCTAAATTAGAGTAGAAAATACAGTGAATAGGGTGTGATGCAGCATCTTCAGTGGAAAAATTTGTTGGTTTTCCTTTATTTTCTTTCATTGGGTAACAGGGTATAATTTTAGGGCAGAATAGCTCATAATAAAGGAAGTGGTGTTTGCAGTTCATTGAAATTCACGCTACACCCACTGTACTTAGCAATATGCTTTGCTCTAAGTTACACTTGAGCCATGTCTGTGGTGGCTGTGTGATAGCATGAGGTTCAGTGAACTTTAAGTGTTGCATCCATTTAAAAAGGTAAAAGATAGGAGGTTGAGGGAAGTGGGTCAGTTCTAGTGGAGTCTGTGGAATGCTCCTAACTAGAAAGGGAATCAACGTATTGTTCTTGAAAGCATTTTAGAACTGTGGTGTTCACCCAGCTGTTCTGTGTTTCCTTGCCTTCCAGATAAAAGCACCTACAACAAAAAAGCAGCTGTGAGCCCAGGCTCTTACAAGGACAGGGGATAAAAGTGTGTCTTCACTGGATATTAAATAACTGTGAAAAAATAAATACACATAAACTGTAAAGAGTTCTGAACTGTTTGTTTAAACTCCAGCACCATCCAACAAACAGTGTCTTAACCCGGGCGACCGTGATACGTGCTTTTCCTGAACAAAGCTGCTCTACTGCTCCATCTTGTGTTACTGGGCACCACTACATGTAAGGGCTGGTCCTCGTTTTACCCAACTTCAGAGGACCTGACCTTGTCCTGAGCCTGGAGCTGTTGACATAACACACCTACCAAAGGGCCTTTTGCCACAGAACACAGTAGTCAATTTGATATGCTTTTGCTTTAAACGTAGTTAATAATAAACTGCGTTTCTAGGCACGGTAGAACTCTTTTTATATTGAATAGATTGAATAGGTTCCAGATCAGTGACTTGTTTTAGGCAATACTAAAAAAAAAATAAAAATAGGGACCTTTCCACCATTTTCCAATTACTCTTTAGTGCAGAAGAGTAGGTAAAGAAAGGTGACACTCAAACCAAATTGTAAAAAAGTGATCTTGCAGTCATTCTTTATGTTGAGTAATGCAATGGGCATCTCTTATTCTAGCAGCAATTTTTCAAGTCACTGCAAAGATTGGTGCAGGTAAATCAGAATCTGTCTGATAGAAGATCACAACACAGAAAAAGTTAAGAGTTTCCAAATGGTATAACTGTGTGAGGTAACTTTATTTTCATAGAGTATCTGAGTTACTTTGTCCAAAGTAATAAATGAAACGTGTTTTACTCCCTGTTTCACTGCCTTCTATAGAAATGAGACGGGCGTAGCTGATCATGGAGAGGCTGTTAGTGAAGTGGCTGCTTCAGCCCTGCTGCGCGAGTCCTCATTCACAAGTCCCAGAGCCGGGCAGTAGAAACGCAGTGCTGCTCAGCACCAACACCTCCAGATGTGCAGGCTCTGTCCCTTGGGGCAGATGTTGGCATGTTGAGCCACCAGGTGGCTGTCTCTTCTTTGCAATGTCTGCATTTGTCCTTGCCCAGTCTCTTTTGGTGAACTCCCACATCATGCTGCTGATACAATACACATTGAATCAAACACTTATACATATTTTTTACAAGTCTTTTTTAAAAAGTGCATATTGAAAGTACAATCAACATCTTTATATAATACAGAAGATTAAATTTACAAGTATGAAATTACTACTGAATACTGAATAAGACTATGAGTCTTATTTAGAATTTCACTCTTTGTATCAGTCAATCTGATCAAGTGCAAGTAAAAAGTTATTTGCATGTTTTGTTTTTTTTTTTCCCTGTGAAGCTTTCTTTGTATGTTTGCAAATATGACTAATTTAAACAGCAAAATATTTACAGGCTGGCAGTCCATGTGTTGACGTAAGGTTCTTGAGTTGCAAGCAGCAGTGGTGTCCATGTATTGTCCAAGGTTCTTGAGTTGCAAGCAGCAGTGGTGGTTTCTCATCTCTCTAGTTCTGCTTCCAGGATTTCTCCCCATGTGTCAACATCCATCGGATACATGCTTTTCTCTGGCAAGTTGTTTTGTGAGTGAACGTTACTGTATTTTCCACTGAGCCATTCTTGTTTTACTTTGCTTTTCCAGTAGTTTCTTAGTAATGTGATCTGATGGAAAAACAGACAGCTAAAATCTTGGAAGTAAACAGAATTAAGCTGCATTCAATACGGTAAGTTTTTTGCACTGGAAGAGTTAGTGCCAGAAAAAGGATTTGGAATGTGTCTTTGATACCTGAATGCCAAGCCCAAAATTGGGTCTACTTCCATCTTTTATAAGTTAGGTTGAGGATCATTTCTTGCCTAAGTTCTTAGAGGTTGAAAATGATGGGGAAATGAAAACCCTAAACAAGAATTCATCTTCCTCCTTATTAAAAAAAAAAAAAAAAAAAAGCCTTTCACTTTCTCTTCCTGTTTAGGTTTTTTATGACCTTTAAGTCTGGCTCATGCTCATAACACAGGCTGGTTGTATTCTTCTATTCAACCAACCTTTTAGTGCATGAAATGCTTGCTTCATCTCTTTGTTGCTCGTTCCCCCTCTAAAATAGAAACAAAATAGAGATCAGGTGCAGAGAGATTTGTAAACTGTTGTGCAAGAGCTGAAAGATGGCTACATTTGGAGGTCAACACCTTCCTGCTTAAGGTAGGGAGTGCAAGTCCAGAATTCTTTTAATTACTATTTTTTATATTTTGCTTGCTCTCTTTTCACACCTCACTGTTTGCAAATGCACCAGCTCAGATAAGGTGGGGATCACCCTCTAGCAAGGTCCGAAGAATAACTGTGAAACCATTCCTTTCCTGATCTGCTTCAGTTTGGAGGCTGGACTGTTCAGCACATCTAGCTGCTCTCTCTTCAGCGCAGCCAGAACCTGGAATGTATCTATGTGTGTGTAGGCTGTTCCAAAACAGCATCTGCAAGCTCCTGTGAGCTCCTTCTTTCTTTTTGCTTACCCCATGTTCTTCCTCCTGGATGCATGTTGCTCATGTATTGAGATAAAGCTATCTGGAATTTTTTCTTCACAGGCAGCATCATTCCAGTGAAGCACAAGAGCTCATACACCATCAGACAGACAGGCTATGCTATTTGGCCACCTGGGTGCTGGGCTGGCTCACATTCAGCCAGCTAATGGCCCCACAGCCTTCACCTCAATCCAGCTTTCCAGCCACTTTGCTTTGGTGATCTTGGGACTAACTAGAAATCAAAGAGCAAGCAAAGGAGGTTCTGTGTAGGAAAGAAGATATCGGAAGTAGAAAAATGATATAGATGTTTCTATAGGGGATATGTTTGTGTGTATTTAACTGGATTCCCAGTTTGGTTTCGCTGCTGAGCCACGCTGGCATTACAGTGGTTCTCCAAGCATCTGGCATTAGCCTCGGACAGATGAGAAACACAGATTTATGCAATCTATTTGCGTATTTCTGCCACGAACCCCAAGAAGCTTCAAAGCTGCCACCACCGTCACTCACGTTCCATTTACCTTCCACGAATATCCACTTCCCCTGTCGCCATCGATCTCCCGCTGGCAGACAGCCCTCACCGTTAAGCAGTGGTTTTTCCACAGCCAGTCGTTGCCGTCAATGGCGAGCCGCCAGCGCCTGCACGTCATGGCAGCGCTGCACAGGCTGCGGGGGTCGAGGGAGCTGAAGATCCGCACGCTGACTTCGGGAGGCAGGAGCGCCACAAAGTCGGCCGGAGCTCCTCTCCTCTTCTTGTCGGGAGGGAGAAGCGTCGGTTCGCCACAAGTCAGCGACTGCTTGTTTCTCTTGGCTGTCTTCTGCATCATTCAGAGCTCTGGCCGAGTCAGGTCGGCAAGCCTGAGTGAGGAAAGCGCGACAGTTAACGAGCATCCCACGTTACTGCCGCCTGTGTGGAGTTATGGATGCCGCACCGGTGGCACGGCAGTGCCATCAGCTGGCCCTCACTGCTGTCTCCTTCCACACCCTTTCAGCCCGCGGCCGCCGCTAGCCGGCCGTGAGCCGAGCACAGGTGCGCTGCGGCGCGGCGCTGACTGGACCGCCCGTTCCCGCCAAGCCGCTGACGGCCGCAGCTCGACCGTGACGGCCGCAGCTCGACCGTTACCGCCGCGCGCCCCCGTACCCGTCCGCCTTTGGAAGCGCTCCGCCATCAGCGCCGCGCCTTGTTGACAAACAGGGCGACCTCCGCGGCGCATCGCGCACGCGCGCGTCCCTTGTCGCAAGCCGTGCCGGGACTCGTAGTTCTCCCAGCCGCGCGTCAGATAGCGGCGAGTCTCGGCGGCAGCGGCGGCGGACTACAATTTCCGGGCTCGTGCTACCGCGCCGGGCGGAGCCGGGAGGGATTTAAACACCAACAGCGGCCGCGCCCTCTTGGTGTGCGGCTGGGGCGGGACGACGTGAGGGAGCTGAGCTCGGCATGGCGGGCGTGCGGCTGGCCCCGTGTGACGGGGGCTGCCCCGTAGCGCTGCCGCCCGGGGAGACTCTGCTGGGACGCGGCCCTTTGCTGGGTGTAAGTGCGGGCGGGGCGCGGCCGGGCCGTGAGCTGAGTGCTGTGCTGAGCCGAACTGCCTGCAGTCGTCGTTTAGTGATGTGGGGTGGAAATGGGTTCGGTGGTGTGGAAGCGATGGCAGCGATGCAGTAAATCAGTTGATTAGGAAGCTCTAGGACTTAAGGTGTCGTGTTAGAAAGCAGGCTTTCTTTATTATCGGTGCTGGGTGCGTGGGGGCTGAGCTCCTCCTATCGTGCACGCCTCGCACGGAAGATCTCCAGTTTATACACATCATACACAGGTTTTCCTGGTGTTTTTGTATTCAGTGTTACCTGTTCAGTCACTGATTCTAAGGAGAACATCCCTATTTTCTTTGTACAGAGGCACTGTAGAACATCCTTATTTACTTGGTCTGGAGTCACAGCTCTCTGTTATCTCAACAAACTGCAGGGCTGTCAACCGGAGAGCTTAACGGAGTCTTTACGACTTCTATCAGAACTGTCGTCTATAAAGACTGTTCCTGCCACGTGCTGAATGGGGTGGGAGTGGTAGGGGGTTTGCAGTGTTCCTGCAAATGCAGGTCGTCATAGAATGGCCTGGGTTGAAAAGGACCACGATGATCATCTGGTTTCAACCCCCAGCTATGTGCAGGGTCACCAGCCAGCAGACCAGGCAGCCCAGGGCCACGTCCAGCCTGGAAGATGTCTTTGCAGCAATGCAAGAGGTGCATTCTAGCAACTCTAATTTGTCCTGAAAGCAGAGTGTTACTGTACTGTTATTTCTCATTTTCTTTTGAAGCAGACTTCTTCTTTCCTGGTCAGAGTGTTTTTTGTGCTGACAGTGATGCTGACATCCCATAGCACATACTGGTAGCTATTTAAAGCCTATACACAACTTGTGTTTTTCTTTGTTGTGAGATGTCAACAGTGACTTCAGCCACTTATGCCTACTGCATGATTGTGCAGTCATACAATGGTTGAGCTTGGAAGAGACCTTAAAGCCTGCCTGGTTCCAACCCCTCCCATGGGCTGGCTGCCCCCCACAAGTTCAGGCTGCCCAGAGCCTGTCCAACCTGATCTTGGGCACCTCCAGGGTCTGGAGTCTGGGGTCTGAGGACCCCACCTCAGGGTCTGTGGGGCACCCACAGCTCTGTGGGCAGTAATGGTGCTTAGCAGTGAATAGAACAGTATTTAGACACCCTGCCCCATCCTGTGTAAATGAATTAACTAATGTAAGAATGAAGTATTCATTAAGAAAAAACAAAACAAAACAAAAAAAGCCACTTGGAGTTTCAGTATGTTCTTGTGAGAAGTATTTAGTCTCTGGAGCATCTGGACTTAGGCTTTTAAAACCAGATCCAAGCAGCTGAGTTTCAGATCAGAGCAGCAGATTTGCAAGCGCTCAAGTGAGAGCTTGCTAAGATGTGCTGGATTCCTTAGGCTTCTGATTCTGAAAATTGGTTCTTAAATATATGCATCTCACATCACTTTTTTTATCTCCTTTTCAGATTACTGATAAGCGAATATCCCGAAAACATGCCATATTGGAAGTGGTGGGTGGCCAGGTTCGCATCAAACCGGTAACTTCAGTCTCTTTATTTACACCTGTAAAGCCAAAATACAGCTGCTGCAGTTTATTTTAGGTTTTCTTGTGATGTTACACTTGTGATTTGAGAACAGTGTTCAGTTTTCCTTGCTCTCATTTCATAACCTTTACTTTCACATTCAGTGTCATTCTCAGGTAATATTACTAATGTTTTCATACAGAATAGTGATTGGGTGAATTAAATAAAACACTGCAGAGGTTTTGTATGTTACTTTATAGTCCTGCTTTTGCTTTTGAGACAGAGATGCATTCCCTTTACTGATTTTCCCCTGATTCTTCTCCATAAAAAAATCTCTGAATTTACAACCTTTGCTCTTCAGCAAATCAGAGAATGATAGAATGGCCTGGCTCAAAAGGGACCACAGTAATCACCTAGTTTCAACCCCCCTGCTATGTGCAGAGTCACCAACCACTAGACCAGGCTGCCCAAAAAAGTCTTCTTTTCTTCTTTTCCAAATAAACCCATTTGTTGTTAGAGGGAAGTTTTAAACTTGCTCAAACGCTTGGCTTTCTAAAAATTGGAGGTGTTTTTGCAGTAATTAACTCATCAAGTCTTCATATAGTTACAGTGAATTGGAGCTTGTGCACAGGCTATGCTAAAACATTTAAGATATGTGTAGATGCTGCTGTTTCTGTTAGAACAGAGTTGTGACTGTTTTGCTCACCAGTGCTGTGAGGGCCAAGAGGAGCTGCTCTGGTGCCACAGGTTTATTTGCTCTGGTATCTCTCAGTTTCAGGCTTCATTATTTCAAAGACTTGGCTGAGTGTTGTAGGAGTTGTGTGCCAATGGCATTTGTATCCTAGTTCTTCAGTCCACGTGCTGCTAACTCTGCAAATGTGAGCTGTGGCCCTCGGTTTTAGGTCTGGAAACCTGCTAAGACCACATTTACTTGTGTTTTCCCCACTAGTTTTGAAGTTTACCTTCCCACCAGTTCACACTTAGTTTTGTTTTACATTGTTTTGTTATATTGGGTTGTGTTTGTTTGTTGTATTTTTTAGAATCCAATTGGATTGAAATGTTAAATATCAATTTTAGATATTAAAATAGCAAACCACCTTTTCACTAACTAGTTCAGTTAATTGTGCTATCTTGTGTATATGCCTATTTTGCCTTTAATGTTTTGCTATTGCAGCTTTGCTGTAGCTATTCCTATGGCGAATCTGCTTTGTATGATAGAGCTTGGTGTGTGTTATCCAGCCATGTTATGTACATGTGTGCTTTTTTAATGCTGGCTATTCTTTCTGTCTCACAGATTCATGTAGATTCATGCTTTTATCAGTCTCCTGAGAACGGCCGTCTGCTACCATTGGAAGCTCATGAATGGCACTCATTGAAATTTGGTGATAGCTTTTCTCTGATGGTTGACAAATACATCTTCAAGGTCCTTTCTGCTCAACCTGTGGAGAGTGCAGACAGGTATCAATATCTGCCAATTATGATCCTGTTCTCAGCGACAGCTTTTTTTTTAACCATTAAATAGAGTCTTTTTCACATAGGGGCCCCACAGGTGATGCCCAGAAACCACTAAGCCTAGGAGGTGTATATGACAAGTGGTCTCAATTCTGGGAATATGGTGTTCTGTATTCTGTGTGCTTCAGTGTTATTTAGTTTAATCCTCTTCTTGGAGAGTGTTAACAGCATTGCATGAAAGTGTTTAAGAGTGAAAGCAGTGGTTTGATATTGCTTGAAAGTAAATTTAAGTACTCCAATAACTATATCTGTGCTCATCTGGTATTATGCTTTGCCTATGTAACGATAAGTTCCCTTTTCTATCACATTAGTTTGAAATGATGTTAATTACTTGCCTGAAGGAAGAAGTCTTAAGTACCACTGCCAAATGCTGAGTGCCTTCCATAGTCATCCCCATGTCCACGTTACGTGATCCCACCATAACTGAAAGTAACTACATTCATGACATTTCGACTTGGTATCAGCTTATCATGAGTACTATTTTCCAACATTTGGAGAGGAAAAATAAAAAGAAATAGTGTCAGAAGCATAGTTCTCATTTTGATATTAATCAGATTTGTTTGCTTGCACGCTCATTAGAATGTTTGATTTATTAGGTTGTGTTATTAGATTATAGTATTAGGATTGAAAACTGGTTAAACTTTTCTTTAAATAAAACTTAAGCAACATCCACATCATTGAAAGCTGTTAACTTCAGAAAAAAAATGGTTTGCTGTGTTCTAATATTTGACCAATGGCAAATAACCTCAATGCAGCATGATATTTACATCAAAAAAACTCAAGTCACTAAGTCTAGAAAGTCAAATACACGTTTTCAGTTCAAAGATGACAGTGAGAAGTAAATGAACATAATTTGAATAAAAATTGTGTTGTTTCTTATGTAGAAACATGGCAATTTACATTTGGGAGGGAGCTAATACTGTAAACAATTCAAAAATGGATTTAGAGCGTAGCAAATTGCAAGCAATGACTTCAAGTTTTGTTGTGGCAATGGCTATTATGTATAATGAACTTAAAAAAAGCTAAAGCACTACAGCAGGGATCAATAATTATTGGAAAATCACTGGTTCAAAATTCAGCAGAAGGTAGAAAGACATCTTTATTTCCTCTAAAAATTGATGTAAGAGCATGTTAGGTTCACTTTGTAAGTTTAATAGCAGAAGTTCAGATTGGCTTCTGTGTAAAAGAAGTGCATGTTCATATTCATGGTGGGTTTGACTACTTAAGAATGATTTTCTTTCCTCAGGAATAATGAAGATGCAGAAGCAGCAGTAAGTGTTCGCCCTGTTGAGATATCTCACAGTCCATCGTTACCTGAGCCAGCATGTTCCACCTCTGAGATGCAAGGTAGCACAGAAATAAGAAGCAGTGACTCTACTTCCACACATCTGGTGAGTGCTTAATTTTTTACAGGAAAATGTGGTATGTGTAAGGATGTGTGTCTTTCTGCTTGTCTTCTTGAGAAGTCAGCTCGGGCAGACCAGGTTATTTGCTCAAAATATATTTGTTTATCGATTGGCTTATATGCTATAGAAGTCTATAAATTGATACTGTAGATTTGTGTTTATGGCAAGTCTGTTACAGTCATTTGTTCTCTGAAATGCACAAAAAATAACATAGCTGTTACTACAGGAATATTTTGAGCTAATATTTTGAGCTCAGTGCTAGAGCTGAATGTGGCACTACAGAGCCGTGCCAGGTTCTAGTCTCTAGTCAGTTACTGCCTGCAAAGGGAATTATTCCTAGGGGAATAAGAGGTAGTTCTTTCAATCAACCTGAAAAACCTCTAAAATTCATATCTGGAGAAATTGTATTGCAGATGCCTTGAGCTGCCTGTTCATTGGAATCATGCAGCAGTGATGGAGTTGTGTTGTCAAAATCTTCACAGGCGCGTGTAGGTAGCTGTGTTTTTAGAGCAAGCATTGTGTGTTGTTTTTACTGTCTGTGAGTAAAATTGCCTTCAGACAGTCTGAAAAATTCCTTTGGCTCCATGAACTGTTTTTCTTAGAGTTTCTGTTGTGTGTAAAGCATCACAGTGCTTGCTAAAAGGGACACTTTGAGTGACATGGTTATATGGTAGGTAGTAACTAAGTACAATGAATGAAATGTTGGCCTTTGTCGGAGTAGGGATTCCTGGATTGTTTACTTACCTTTTAGCAGATAGTGCCAAATTGGTGGTATTTCATTAAACAGGTGCATATTAAACATAACTTTGATGTATTTAACTTCTTACAATGTTCAGAGTGTGATTTCTTTCTGAAGGAAGCAATTGAAAGAATGCTAGCGGAACTTTTTTGACAAAAGTTTTTTGACAAATAGGCATTTGTTGTTTGTTAAACCCATTTACTCCTATTGTTTTTTGGAAACTGCATAGAACAGTTATTTTAGGATCTTGCTATGAAACTTTCAGTCTTCAGTCTTTTACACGTTTATTCCAAAGGTCTGAGGAACTTTGTACTGAATGAAAGCTTTTATAAATGCCATTTCTCTGTGGATAAAAACTATTAGCGTTTTCAGGCAATGGGCACTCCCTGAAAGTTAGTAACCCAGGCTACTTTTGAAGGATCTAACTGATGACAGACTTGTGTTCCAGTTTTACTCTCTTGTAAGTGACAAAAAGTATTAAAGAGTAAGTATTGTTCCAGGTTCCTTTTTGTGATGATAGTGAAGGTGAACAGTCAAAATCTATTCAAAGGAGAAGGGTCCTTCCATCATGGATGCTGGAAAAAAACCTCCTGGTTCCAAGGATTTCTGAGCCTATAATGAAAGGAGGTAAGTTCACAGTGTAGTATGTTTGCATATCAATATTCAGTATATGTTGATGTGTATCTTAAAGCACAAGTATTACTCCTCTAAACAAAGTCCAGTTGGAGTACAGGAAGTGGAAGAAGTTGTTGAAACCATGCTTGCACATCTGCTGATAGTCCTCCTGGCTTTTACCCAGTGTTATACTTAGAGGTAACTTTAGATTTCCACTGCGTTTGGGGTTTTATGTAAAAACCCTCACTTTTACTCACAGCTTTGAGTAAAAGCTGTGTTCCAAAAGTAACTTTTTTTTTTTTTTTCTTCTTTCAAGGTGATAGAAACAAAAAAAGCCAAGGAAGGGGAAAAAGCGATATGGAATCTTTAAAATCAGAAGTAAGTATTCTGCAGGGAAAGAGATCAGCTTCTGAAGAAATTAAAGAGAATTTTGAAGATGAAGAGCAAGATGAGGAGGAAGGGAGACGACTGTCCTCTCCATTACAGGTAACATTTTGCTGTTAGCAAAATGATGGTATTTCAAAAATGTAGTTGGCAATGTCACAGTGTATGGTTGGGTTTAGAATTTAACTATGTGTTCTGCTTGTAGTTTGTGTTCAACACTTGTCCAATGAGCTGGCATTTCAGAAACAGCTCTGTAACAAGGAAGCTTTCAGAGACTTGATAACGAGTGTTTTTTGTGCTTCTTTTTTGAGACCTGGGATCTGGGCTGTGATTGTTCCATAGAAACACCATACTTCCAGCTTTGCAGCAAGAGATCTGGAAGATGGGACAAAGTACTGCTCTAGTAGTCTCACTTCAAGTGGCTTTGGAGCATGGTTTGTTTTTCTGAGAAGTCTTTAGGGGATTAGGTGATGGATGATGATGCTGATACAAGGCAGCTGTGGACTTTACCCAAACTAGTGCCATTCTAGTTGGTTAAATTTTGTGGCTGGAACACTGGTACAAGCCCCATGAAACTGCTACGTTTTGAAGGAAGATAGTGAGGAGTGTAGTAATGGCATTGCAGTAAGAGTCAAAAGTGGAGGGGAGTAAATCATCTGAAATCTAAAATTGTCTGTGATTGTGAGCAAACAGAGTCTTCAGTCCAGCTAGGCAATGAGTCAGTGTGGATTCAAAGTAAAGCTGCATTTTTAGGGAATTATGTGCTTACTGGTAGTATCCTGCTAATAATGAAAAGATGTTTGTTGTTGATAATGACCCTCAAAACTCATTCTGGTGGGAACAAACTAAGGCTTGTACTGATTTTTAAATGAACTAGTTGGTGTTTCAAGCCTCTAACACTAGAACTGCTTGGATCTGTTACAAGATTTGAAAAATAGTTTTCATTTGTACGCTTCATCATTTTTCATGCTGCAAAACGTGTATGTGGATTGTTTTTGAATCTTTCTTATTGAAATTACCTACTTGTGGAGAGTTTGAGCTTAATTGTGGGTAGTTTGAGCTGATTACTTGTGGGTAGCTTTGATATAATGTAGTATCTCTTCATCTGAAAATGTTTTCTTGAGTAACGTTAATGCTAGTGAGTGACTGTATAATAGAAGCCTCATTTCTTTCTGCTATTAAATAATTTCGTAAACGTTTATCTCAAGTACAGTAAAAAAAAATTGACTCCTGAACTCTGTAGGAGGAAATAATGATTACTTTTGCTTGCTCAAACCAGTCACAGAAAACTGAAACATTGAAGTGTTGATATTGCAGGTTAAGAGCAAGACCCTCAACTCAGCTGTCGTGGCAGCCAGCCGCCAGGTGGCAGTGCAGTCACACACATGCCAAAAATGAATGCAACCTGTGCTGCTGTCTCATTTTTTTTCCATGCTAACAGTATTTTTCTTCTTTTAATAACTCATCACAAGATCTGATAACATGTGACTAATTTCCTGTGTTTTATCTAGTGAGGGTAAAGCACGTGGTAGTGGGAGTCCCCACATGGGAGAGGCAAGTTAGGAAAAAGTAATTGAGTCATATTTCTGCATATGAAAGCTCATTTCCTTAATTACTATTGTTTGAGCCTTATGTTGGGTGTCACAGAAGAGTCATTTTTGACCCTGAGTTGACTTATTTAATATGGTGCTGCAAGGATCACTTGAGATTCCTGCAGAGTTTGCCACTTCTTAGTAGTATTGCTGCTCACTTACAGTTGCCTCAGGCTTTGGTGAACTCGTTAGTTTTGCATTGAAAAAAGCAAAATCAAATAGGAAGCAATCAGTCCATTTTCAAAGTGTGCTGAACACATCAGTGCAAACTCAGTATGAATTCACACAAGGTGGCACATCAGGTAATAAACTCTAGAGAGTAGAGACGTTTGAATAGTTACTTTACAGTGTCAGGGTTGTTGAGCTTTTAGTATGGGTATGCTTCCAGGTTACAGCTTAGTTATGTATCTCCTGCCTCTGAAGCACTCTTCTTTTAAGTGTATATTCTACTTTTAAGTGTATATATTCTAAATCTTGAAATGCAGGATTTGTCAAAACTGCAATATTAGCCTGATGAGCTGTTTTATGCTTTAGCTCATGACCTTAAATCATTCCAGGTGCCTTAGAGGTGAGATTAAGCTCAAGGTGTGTACTTATTGATTCCCATATATCTCTTATATATAGATAACCCATGAATCTTGGTACTTAGGTATTAAAATTGGTTCTTGTAAAGTAATGTATGTTCTTCTAGAGTCCGCTGTATCCTGACATGTATAACCCATCTTAATTTTTAAGGAGCAGTACTTTTAAATTTAATTTAAACTAAAATCCTTAGACTACTTAGAGGCCAAGGTGATAGGAGAGAAGCATCTACTTGTGAAGGAACTGAGGCTGAGGATGTAAACTCTAGGATAAGGTTTTCTCTGCATTCTGTGCATGTTCTTAACCTCAACTTTTCATTTGGCAGCTGTATGTAGCAGCTAATTGGACTTTGAGAAGTGGAGAAGATGATTTTGGAAACTGGAATGACAACACAAGGAAGAGTTTGACCTTAATGCTTTTAATTCTGTAGAGTGTAGATTTTCAAGTTGTTCAAAATGTAACTTTGTTCCACAGAATGCATCTGGATTTCCTCTTGAAAGTACCATGGGAAACATGGAAAGAAAAGGCAAGACTGAAACAAAAAAAGCTGGAAGTTCTGTGGAAAAAAGTAACAGGCAGCTGCATAGTAAACGATCTAAACCATCAGGTCAGATGTCCAGTAAGATAAATAGACTTGAGGAATCAGAAAACAAAGGACAGCTTACTTGTTCTACAAGCCAACAAGCTCCCCGGGGCAGGACTTCACCTACTGGTGCCCAGGAAGGTGCTTATGAGCCCAATGCAGATATGGATTACGACACTGAGATTTCTTATACAACCAAAGGTGCTGAGGCTTCAGAAAGCTCCAGAAAGATAAAGCACAAGAGGACGCCTTGCATGTATGGAGCAGCCTGTTACAGGTAAAGTAAACTTAAAACAAACTTAAGCTGGTATATAATTGAGAAGTAATTTATTAGCTGTGGAACAGAAAACAGCGAAATCATCACAAGGTTTGATATTGGGGGGGGGGAATCTTCTGGTAAGCATGGGAGTGATAAAATTCTTTTCATGTGATTTGCTTCTTAAAATACAAAAGGAAGAGCCAGGTGGTCTTGTTAGCTGCTAATACAACCTAGCAGGGGATGAGGTACTTCAGCAAGTTAAAAGATAAAGTGGTAAGGGAAATAAAGGAAATAGGCAACAGAAGTCCATTTTAAAAGAACAAATTAACAAACCTGTGCGTGCCAGCCAGGCACAAGTAGCAGCGAGGAGAAGAGGTGTAAGTGGTACAAACCCAACCTAGACCCTGTGGGCTTGTTTTATTAACAGATAAAAATTTTATAAGAGAGTTTTAGTTGTGGAAGTAATTGCATGCCTTGTGACTTGAACATTCAAAATACTTTTTATCTGTCTTTCCTAAGTAATGAAGAATTATGTTTATTGTAAGTTGACCAGCCAGGTTTCTTATTTAGCTTCCACTCACTGCCTAGAAATACAGCACAGCATACTTAGAAACTCCATGTTAACCCTTATCTGGTTCCCTTCTTTGGTATATTTCAAGTGAAGTGCATTTCTTTTGTTCTCCCTCTCTTTTTGGTGACTGAAGATATGTTGTAAAAGTTTTCTGTGAGATACAGATGTAACAAAGAAGTCCCACAACATCAGGATGGAACATTTGGGTGTATGTTCTGTTGCTAGTTTCTTCTGCCCAGAAAAGATTTGGCATGCCATGTGTTGCTGCATCAAAGAGAAGATGCAAACTCAGTGGTGATCTTGAAGTTAGCTAGTGAGCACTGTAGTAGAAGGTGTCTTTGAGCTCTGAATTCTTCCATGCAGACAGGAATGCGAGAGAAAGCTAATCTAGGAAATAGTCAGTGGGTCCAGTGATGTTCAGGAAGCTTGAATATTAGTGAGAACAATCTAGCAAGAGTGTATGTTTATTGTGTCTAATGCCACAGACAGCAGGGGAAATCAAAAGCTCAAAGATGCAGTGTTAATGATTGTGTCAAATTACCCCTTTTCATATCTTTTTCATGTCTGTTTTTGCCCTTAATCACTATCTTGAAAATATTTTACTAGTCCAGTAAGCTGATCCAGTAATGCAAATGCAGCATCTGCCTTGCTTTTTGTTTTTGTCTCAAACTAGTTTTCCTGCATATGTGAGTTGGGTGGAATTAAACATTAGGAATCCTTCAGTAAATCAGAGGATTAAGAAAACATGTTTTAGTTACAAATAGTATGGAATATTGGTTAGCAATATTGAGGCAAAGTATTGCATCGTAAGGAAAAGGATGGTATGGGACAATGCACAACAAAATCTTACTCAGTCTGGTTGCTAGCAGATCCACTTTCATAAGCTTGTTGGTTAGGGGGATGGGTTTATACCATTTATACCTTCCAGTGTGAAGGTTTTTCTATGTCATTTCTGTAAGCTGGTGGATTCAGAAGAGACTGCCAGATGATGGATAACCAAGGGTGATGGCTGCAGGTGGTGACAGCTGCATTGGAACCTTCACATTCTGGCCATTACATCCTATATGCTTGTTGCTCTTGCTTTGACCTACTGGTGCTTCTCTCAGCATACATCAGGCCCTTGTGTAAGCTGTGGTAGCCAAAACCTGATCAGAAGTGGAGTGAGTAGTTAGAGAAGTACAGCTCACATAGCACATTTAATTGTAACAGGTGTTGTGCTCCTACTGATCAAACCTCTAGTGCCTAGAAAAAATAAAATTCAAAATGTTCAAACGAATGAAAGCCTTTATAAAAGGGAAGAGATGTGCATGTAAGCTTTAGATTTTCTGCAAGGAGGGCTGTTGATACAAGCTATGCACATCTCTGCTTATATTTGTTTTGCTAGATATCATTGGACAGCACCTAGGAGTGGAATAAGCACAAGTTATCCATGTAAAGGTAAGATAAAAGATGTTTGTACTAGTTTGAGCATCTGAAGTACACGTTTAAGATGCTTCACAGACAATGTGTAATTTGAGGAGCATGATCTGCTGGTCCAAAAAGCCCTGAGCATATTGGAAGATACATCAAGAATCTTTCCTTTTTCTTCCTTTTCCATTATTCCTTTGGAGTTTGTTTGATTTGGCTTTGAGGAGGAAGATCAAAGTTCTGTTGCTCAAGTAGGGTTTGAAGAAAAATTTTGGAAGAAAATGTGCATCTTCTAAAATATAATAGCTTGTCTAAATGGCAGCTATTAGGAATTCTTTCCTTGGTAAAAATAATGAAGTACATTTCTTATTCTAGGAAAAAGTAGAAAAATGATTTCGCAGAACACTAGTTGCTTCCAGATCCCCTTGAGGAGATGAATTATGTCTTAAATGATTTTGAATTCTTGCAAATATCGTTAATAAGGTAGTTTTGTGCACTTAGAAAACAGAGCAAGTAAAATGATTTGGTTTCATCTCATTTATTTTTAAATGGGAAAGGAAATGAGCAGCCAGCTCCACGGTGCCTGAATTTCATTTAGGAAGTGATGTTTTCTGAGAACTTGTGGTAGAATAAGTGACAAGTAAATGCAACCCTGCAGTAGTATCTACTGAAATAGTATTTATTTGTCCTACAGCTTGCAAAAATTAGCAGAAAAGACCAGGTCAAGAAGGCTGTCACCTTTGTAAATACACAGAAGGGATGCTGTAACTTCTTATAAGTAGCTCATTGAAGAGCTTATCTGTGGTTCTTGTGTACTCAAAGGAGTTAGCGTGATAAGTCACTGATGTATTTTCTGGGTGTCTTTGGAAAAAGCATTTGTTAACATATCCCATATTCCTTGCTTGTAAGTGTTATATTTGGAAAAAGTATCTCTAAAAAAGAAATCATAGGAAAAAAGTAAATGTGCTTCTGGTAACAGAATGTTAACTGTGTCATTTTTGTAGTGTTTATTTTTTATCTGTGTCCTGAAATCACAACTCATTTTTCTGTTTGTTTTAATATCACTTAGAAGTTTTATAAAGCTTTAAAGTTCTTTAAGTGGTGTTTATAGCTTCCTTGTCTTGCGTTGTGCGCATTCCAACCTATTGACTAGAAGCAGTTACACAGAGGTCAGTTAATAAACCATTTTGTTTGCTACGTCTTGGATCCTTCCTGTGTAAACAGATAAAGCAGAAGGCTGTTTATGCCAGAGATGTGCTCTCACTGCTTGCATTGCTGATTCAGCCACATGCAGAGCTGTTATGTCTTGTAGTACAGCTTCATTTCCTCATTGCTCAGATTGGAATGGGATACTTCAAATAAAATGCCAAGGTAGCCGAGGCAAACTGTACAAACTGTAGTAAGTGAACTATTCAGTAGACATTTGAAGTAAAGTGACAGCATTTAAGTAAGAAGTTGTATGCATAACAGAACTACTAGTTGATACAGATTGCTTGAAGCAAATATATTATCCCCGAGTGTACGTGGAGTCTATTACTGCAGTGCTTTGGTTGCCATGCATTGGGCCTTCCAGCTCAAGCTGAGGCTGCAGTAGTAGTTTCTGTAACTCTTCTAGTGCTCCACAGGGAGCCAAAACTGAGCAAGTCAGGCTATGAGCAGGATTGGTGCTGTGTGATTACTTTAGGAGATGGTACATGGGCTGGAGGTCTTGAACCTTGATATACTGAAGGCAAATAGGAAAATTGATGTTTTAACTGTTGCTGAGACAAAAATATCCTTCTGTTACCCTGAAAGTAGGTCTGATGTGCTGCATAAACATTAAAAAACTGTACTTGTGTACTCACAGAAGAATGAGTGTAAATGGGACCTCCATATATGTATTTGTCTTCTACAGGAGGAATCCCGTTCACTTTCAGCAGTTCAGTCACCCTAATGATGATGATTATTATGAAACACACAGTGTAACTCAAGATGACAACGATAACCGCCCCGAATGTCCATATGGAACTGCTTGCTATAGGTAAGAGGCACTGCATGAAATGGCTTTACTTATTTTATAGCTTAAGACTGTTCTCTGCAATTACAAAGTGACACAAAAGCAAAGAGTGGTATTTGAATTAAATCTTGAGTAGAGCATATCATTGTGGCTCATGTTCTTGTCTTGGTGCCTTTTGAAATTTACTGTGGATAGGCTGCTACCTTCCAAGCACTAAAGTCTGTGCAAAATGTTTGGTAGTGATTTCAGCCTAGCAAACATGGAATCTTAACTTCTGAAACTATTGACTAACATAGATTTTTAACTTTTAACAGTAACACCCTTTTTAACTTCTCGCCATGTAGCAAACTCCTTTTTTACCAACACTAATTTATTGCTACATACGTTGTTCATGCTGAACTTTTAGTTTAAATTTTGATAAAGTGTATTTTGAGTTTTTTTTCAAAATCTCTATGTTAATTATTATCTGACTCCCTAGAAAGCATAATTCAGGTAGCAACAATAACATCCAATTTCTAGTTTACTGCAGTTTAGTTTAAGTGCTGTTGATTTTCTGAAAGATTGTTCTATTTTTTTCTTCAGTGTTTAGATTTTAAGCATTTATTTAGCAGATCTTAGCACAGTTCAGTTGGAAGGGACATACAGAGATCAGGTACTGCTGCCTGACCACTGCAGGGCTAATCAAAACTTAAAGCATATTGTTAAGGGCATTACCCAAATGGCTTTTGAACACTGGCAGGATTGGGGCATCAACCCTTCTGTAGGAAGCCTGTTACAATGCTTGACCTCCCATTTTTTTTTGTTAGTGACTACTGAGTAGTTGACTATATGGACAGAAGAATATATTTTGAGGAAATAGCACTTCTGCTCAGGCATATTGAAACTTACAGCTGCTGTTAATAGAGCGAGTGTATATATAGAGAGCAGAAACATTTTCCACTTTCTCTTTGAGAAAGCATAGGTGACTCTAAAGAATGTGTTCTCTATGAAATACAACAAAGTGTTGTGGATGAGTTTATTACTCAGAACAAGAAATCTGGATTTATACCAGTAGTGAAGTTGCCAAGGTGCATTTCAGCAGTGCAGTGGGTACTGAATACAAAAACAAAACACAGAGCACACAGAGCGTCTTTGTAAGTTAATCAGTTCTTAATCTGTTTAATTATTTTGAGGCAAAGGATATGAGGCACCTGTAAAGCAATGCTAATTCTTTAAACTTACCAACAGATGTGGATTGAAGAGTTTTCAAATAATTTTTGTTGTTGGCTACAGTTTGAAGAGAGCGTAATCAAGAGAATGATCTAAACACTATGTCTTAACTTGTGATCTAATTGTCTGATACTGGTGATAGTAAAGAGTACTGAAATAAGTAATTCCTTCTGTTATTGTAGCAAGTATGTTGTAGGAAGCAGTACTTCCACTTCTCACTCAGATAAATATGACTTTTAATGCATACGTAATGTACTTCAGGATGGCAGTAGCTATGGAATTGTAAATCGAGTTGAAATGCTTGAATTTGTCACAAGTTGTGACATATATATGTATATACATAGCGAAAGTGTGTCTGTATTACTCTGTTCCTTGAAGAATAAAACATAAATAAGCAACTAGTTTTACAAGGCAGTTTTTGTAGCAAAGATAGTTTGTAAAATACGCAGTAGCTGCGGTTGCAGACTCATCCTATAAGTTTCAAGCAGTTCCAAAGGGAGTGTCATAATTGAATAATGGATTTTAATTGTTGTTCAGAAGCAGAAATTAGGATAACTGAACTGGTTTTCCTGAAGTTAGAAACTTCTGTACAGAAAAATGGAAAACAGAGCAGAAAGAATTTAAGCAGGCAGTCCCAAGAAAAGCCTGCAGTATACTAACAAAATAAGCACAATGCCAGCTATACTACACTCAGCTAAAATTTATTAGAGCAGCGTTGCTTAACAGTTTGCAGAGGGATTGTGATGAGGGGGAAAACATTGATGTGTGTTAATTACCTGCGGTAGTCACAGCTTGGAGGAGAGGAACGTGCTGGCAGCCCAACAGTGAGTTAAAATTCTCTTTCGTTGTTCTAAAGCTATTTGTTTATTTATTTCAGAAGATGTGAGAAGTTGTAAATTGAACTGCAGTAACATCCTGCAGAAATGAGTGATTCTTCCTGTGGTCGCTCTGTGTGATCCTTCAAAACAAGCAGTTCTTTCCAATGCTTCAGTTTCCCAAACTATTTTATTTGTATCCATATACTGCAAATCGTGGAAGTTACACCTGGGTGTTTCAGACCTGCACTGTGCTTTAATGCACCACAAGTTATATTCTGTTTTCATTCTTCATTAGAGTAAATAATTGGATCAGGTTTTACTGTGTTGAACCAGTGCATGTTACGTGACTTTGGAGATGCATCTCAATTTTGATCAACCAGCAATTTTCTTAATAAGAAATAGTTCTTATTCAATCTGTTTTTAATCTTCCACCTTCATTCTACAAGCACAAAGACTGCAGTAAGGTACTGATCACCAACTTTTATTTTGATGAATGTTGCTTAATGAAAATGGGTTTTGTGGCCGTAGCTGAGATGTAACATAGAATTTTGTGCAGCAGAACAAATTGCATGATAGAAAAGGTCTGAGGCTCTGCAAGTCTGTAACGATTCCTTGATTTAAGTCTGAAAACTGTATTAAAGAGAACAATAAATTATAGGATTGTATGATTGTATAATTATATCATTCTTGTACAATTATGCAATTTTATGATATTTGATATTTTTTTTTCTTATAGTAAGTTTTCAGATAAAAGGTGAGGGGAATATGGGGAGGAGGCTGCTGCTTAATCTTGTGTTGAGGATTCAACTAACAAATCAGTTCATTTCTTCATTCAGGGTGTTCACCTTTCCCTGATCTGTGTTCATATCCAAAAATACCATGCAGTTCTGGGCTGTTTATATGTTGAGCACAGGGGCAAATCATGCTTTTGTTGTTTTCTTCTTTTCAGGAAGAATCCACAACACAAACTTGAATACAAGCACACTGTACCTCCAGGTAAGCTAAGCTATTCAATGTAATTAAGGCTGTATACATGTATACATAAACCAACAATGGATACAAAAATGTGAATAACCAGACAGTTTGGATCAGACAATTCTTAGCATGTAATATACAGGAGCATAAAAACCAGATAAAAGGTGCCATGTGGCAACTGGGCATTTCCATGAGCATAGTAATTTTTTTAATGAGTATTATATAGATATAAATTTATAAATTAAATACAGTACAAATATGGTATCTTACATTAGCAGATCTTTCCTATCTATTCAGAGCTGTATCAAGAAAATGAAAGCAGGGAATATATTTCAGTAACTGTCAAAAAACTCAGGGAGATGCCCTGCTTATATTTTGTGTGCTCTTAAAGAATTCAAAGAGGTACTTCCTGTTTTTTTGATTATTGGACACTTTTTTTTTTTTTACTTGAAATCCCAGTGCTATGAAGAAGTCATCAGAGCAAATCTATTATGGACACGTAGTGATAATGTACTTCACCTAAAGAATTAGAATTATGACATTATTAAGGAGTAATTTATTGAGGTAACTGTAAAATATTTAAATACTTCAATTTAGGATTTGAAAATATCAATCTTAAAGACATTTTTCTTGGGGAAGGAATGGCTTATAGTTCCAAGAAAAGGTCATCTGGTGAATTTCTCAGCAATCGTTCAATACAAAATAGTTTTTTGGGGGCTGTGTGTCAGGGAGGAATTTTTCTGTTTGTGAGCACTGCATAATCACTGCAGTGTTGAAGAGGTCAGTCACTTATTGTAGCAGCTTCCGTGAATGACACTTCTCCTGGGTTGTACTCTGTCCTCATTAATAACCTTCTTTTCTTTAGTAACTGAAAGACGAACCCGACAACGAACTTCCAAGAATGGTGAGTGTGTTCTAATTCTGTGAACGGATACATCAGCGTGGGCCATAACCTACATGCTTAAGTTTTTAGGCACTTAATAGTGCTGGAGATGCTTGATAAAACCAAGAGAAAGTCATTGTTGTTTCATTTTTAGTGAAAACCTGCTTGCTTTTTCACAGATGAGAGTGCTGAAGTTCAATTTGTGCTAAGCTTCTTGAATGAGCATGTCTATTGCTCTCTGGAAGCAGACAAGAGATCAATCTGATGTTTTACATTTAAAAATGAGGATGGGTTCTGAGTTCATAAGTTAATGGTGTTCTCTCTTGTACACTGTGCGCACACAGCTCAAGTACCTGAAGCTTTGGTCTGAGGCTGCTAAGAAATGCCCATGGTTAATATAAATATTAGTGATCTGGACTGGGGTATACAGTGAGGAAAAAAAGATGTATGACTTCAAATGGAAGATAATGACAAAAATTGCTCAACAGACTTAGTTGTTAGGTTATCTTTAGATGAAATAAAGGAAATGACTGTCTGGGAGGAAGGCTCTGTACTCAGCCCTAGTAAGGGCACACTTGAGGTGGGGGAATCATCATCCCTAGAGGTGTTCATGAAATGTTTAACATGTAGTGAGGGACGTGGTTCAGTGGGAAATATTGGTGATAGGTGGATGGTTGGATGTGACCTAAGGGCACAATAACATGATCAGAATACTAATGCAGTGTAACTAATGAGAAATTGTGGACACACAAGGAAAAGGGAGATAGCGTAAACTTGTAGAGCATGAGTTATGCATGTCTATCAAAATCGGGAAACAAAGAAAATAAACTTGTTGAAGATTTGCAGCTGCTAACAAATGAAAGAAGAATGCACTGCTGCCATGGTAGTGCCAGTACAATGTTGCTGCCAAGACAGAGCTTCACATGGCAGAATTGGTTTAAATGGGTAAATTTGCCAACGCATTTGAGCAATAAAGGAACACTGCAAGACTATCCATCCAAAAGAGCTTGGGAATGTAATGCAAACAGCATCTGTTTCTTATAAAAAGACGCTTTTTGTCTTTGATGCCTGCCATCATTACAGAGTATTGTGAAGTACTAGGAAAGCAGAAGGCAATTTCATCACATAGAGGTAAGTTTTTAAGGTAGATAGAAGACATAGAATTAGAAAATTGCGTAATAAAATAGCCTAAGTGAACTACGGAAAAAACAGGTAGACTACATTCCTCTTGGAAAAGAAGTGTTTAGCATTTCCTTAACCCTTGTTCAGAAAGAAAGCATAAACTATCCAGCATGGATCTTGGTTGAGAGCTTGGGGTGTGTCATCTAGCAGGTTGTTGTCTTTTACTTGACACTTATGAAAGAAGTGAATAGGAAATAAAAGCCATATAAAATTATTGAGGAATTCGAGTATAAAATAGCCAAAGGCAGAAAATGAAATGTAATGTAAATGTAAAAAAGCCATCTACCAGTAGCTAGAGATTAAATGGCAAGGAAGATGCATAGTTTAGATCCAGATGTAGTCTGCAATGTGTATTCTTTTTTTTTTTTTTTTTTGTCTTATTTTGCTTAGATAGTAAATCTGGTTAAATAACTCACATTGTTAATACCAGTGATTTTTTTTTTTTTTTTTTTTTTTTTTTTTTTTAAAAAAAAAAAAAAAAGGTTGGGACTGCATGAAGAGCACAGATTAAGCAACACCAAAAACTTTCAGACCCTGAGATCCAGTCTTGGGTTGTATGTAGTTCTTGAAAATCGTGAATAATTGATATGATCATAGAGACTAGAACCAGAGAAGTTCTTGCTTTCCAAAAAGAAGCTACGGAGCTATATGCTAGTCAGCTTAAATTCTGGTTTGGGAATGGGGAGGTCTGATACTGATAGTGAAGAGGTAGAAGAAAATGTGATTTTTTTTTTTTTGCTTGTAATTGTATGAAACCAGCTTGGCTCTGTGATGTATCATTATGAATTATGGTTAGAGACAACAGGTAAGTCACAGAACCATTGAACAAAACCCTTTGGCTGTGTCCAGCCAAGCAATTCCTAATACACTGAACAGTCCATCCTTCAAACCCACACCTCTTCAATTTAGAGAGAAGGCTGTGGTGAGGGACCATGTCAAAGGCCTCGCAGAAGTCCAGGCAGGTGACACTGATCACCTTTCCCCTGTCCACCGATGCTGTCACTCTATCATAGAAGGCCACCACATTGGTCAGGCATGATCTACCTTTGGTGAAGCCATTTCTGACTTCACTGTAAAAAGGAACTCTGCGTAAACCCAGTAAGCAAAACTTGAGGTGATCAGACACCTTAGTGATAGGTGATAAAGTTCTGCAGTTAAGTGTCAGAGAGAGATAACATGGTTCAACTTGTCACAAGGCTTTTGTAAATCTAACCAGAAATTGTCAGAATTAGGTAGGATGCTTCAGTTTATTCTCTGTCTTCTTGGGACAGATCAATTAAGTAGTCTCTGGATTAAGTTTTTAGTTTTATGGTTGTGATTCATGAATGCATTATTACATTTTTGTCCTTCCAGGAAAAAGAGGTTTAGAGGAAGACAGTGATGATGATGGTGGGCCAAATGAATATGATCTCAATGACAGCTTCATAGATGATGAGGAAGAGGAGTGTGAACCGACTGATGAAGATTCTGACTGGGAACCAAGTTCAGAAGAAAAGGAAGATGTTGAAACACTTGTGAAAGAAGCACAGGGATTTGTTAAGACCAAAAAGTAGCTGCACTGAATAACATTAAGAATGTGCAATCCAGTTGTATTAAAATTTGGGTGTGCAAGAACAGAAATTGCTTTGAAAACTACTTTTTCCTCAGTGATATAGGAACTATGGGGAGAGATTAGCTTAATGGTGGTGAAGGGATTCAGCAATACCTTTCTTTTTGTGTAAATTGCACACTTTAAGTGGTGGAGTTAAATGATTGAGCTCTGGGATTCTACTGTGTGTCAGCTGAAGTAGGACTTTGTGAAACAGAACTTTATCAGCTATTTCTTCTCCAGCATCATTAGTTTGGCTGTACAAAATACAATTTTAAAGGTTTATAATGCTTTATCTCTCTGTCTAAATATTGACATTAGAAAAGCCTTTAGATTTGCTGAAACACAATATATACTGTGTTAAATAAAGAAGAACCAGACTTCGTACCTGTCATGTCACAGGCGGATTCTTGGCCATCACTGAGGAAATCTGTCTAAACCATTTTACTTTTCAGTTATTGAAACTTTACATTCCATTCATCAGCTACTAGCTTTCCTTTTAAGCTTTACTTCAGTTGTCTTGATGTACAGCAGTTAAATACTGGTTGTCTGAATAACTTCAGAATATCTAAGTGTACTGAACGTCTGATGATGTCCCCACACAAATTATGGTGTATTTGCTTTAATTACGGTACCTTTTCAAATACATGTACATCCCTGGAGCTGTTTGGCTCACCAAAAAGCTGAAATAAAATGACCATTTTTGCACAATTAAACTTATAATAAGCCATGAGGGGAAAAAACCTTATAACTGTGTCTCTGTGGATTTTCTTTAAAGGCTCTGTTGGAAGATCCTGCCTTCAGTGTGTTCGCAGCTTTCCTGAGCTTAAATTAAAAAAAAATTTGAATGTGTTTCTGGCAGGTGCTTGAAGCCATGTTAATTTAGGAGGTATTTTTATTATTTTTAATATGGAAATTCAGCAGGGATACTGTTCTTGTGTGACTTCGTGAAATTTTTCCTAATTATGGTTGAATAATAGATATCCAACTGCACTTGGAGCATTGTAGTTGGGTGATGAAATGCTCTCTGCTGGTGAACTTCCAGGAGTACTTCTTCCAGCTGATCACTTTTCTGCAGCATATTCCCAGCATGAAGAAAAACACTGTTTTCTAGGGCTTCAGAAGAAGCAGATATTTGTAGTAATTTCCTGTCTCTTTAATATGCTTTTGCAGTCTTGTGTTTGTTAATCATTTTAATACTGTTATATCTTTGCTTGAAGAGACTGAGTGCCATGGAAGCAAACTGCTGTTCAGATCTGTATTCTGACCATGTAATCTTTCTTGCAAAACCCTCATAAAGTTACTTAGAATAAATTGGATGCTACTGCAAATTGGTTTGAGGCTAATTTTGGATACACAATAGTAACTTGCAAAGTGTGACTGCAGTTTCTCTTAAAAATAATGAAAATACAAATGCTTATGATGGGCAACCGTTCAGTTTCTGTTGGCCGAGGACCTGGGTGATACATACAGTGTAAGATAATTCTGTGACCTTAACATTCCTCAAGTGGAAACATTCATTATTGTAATGTTTTCCTGTGAATGGCTATCTAAGCTGCTCGAAGGAGATATTAGCATTTGGAAAATTGAAATAGCTTTTTGTCACAGGAGGTTCCTGATGAGGTGTGTAATCACAAAAGCACGTGTGCATATGATTCATGGTTTGTGTGATAGTTTAAGATTTACTACTGATCTTTTAGGACTGAAAAAAAAGTGTCAAAGGTATTGTGTAAGGGTAGGATGAAGCTGTCTCTGTTCAAGAGTATTTCCCTCATATTTTCTTTTGACCTCAGTGTATGTTTTTATTCTTCTAGATGGAGAATCTTCTGACTGCAAGATATTTGAATGTTGATTGAAAGTATTCAGTTTGTGATACAGGTAAGATCTCTCAGTTAACAAGAGACTAAATGCCAAGTTCTCCTGTGTTTTCAGTCTGTCAGGTATGCACTGAAATTCAGTGGAGTGAGATACAGTCTAATTCTCTCTGCCTGGGCTTTATTCTGTGAATACACTAGTACTGCTTTGGGAGGAATTTCAAGAATTTAAAAACTAAAATGAAACCAAAGTATGCCATCAAATGTTTTAAGCCGTGGTTGTTAATAGAAAATGTGATAAATTAAGTTTAAAGCTATGGGTTAACACTGTTATGGTTGCTCTGAAACCTCTAACTTTGAGGCTTTGCTTGCCAGTAAGACAATAACACATAAGAAATGAAAGGGGTGCCTACGTTAATGAAAAGTTCCTGTTTCTAAGTGAGCATTTGGAATAGCAAAGAGTGCAAAATACAGCACATGCACTGACTTTGTCTCTTTCACTGTCTGTGTTTCTGCCTCAATTGAAATTAAAAAATAGTTCACTATATCTATGCCTAATGAGGCAAAGATCAAGTGCAAAAAAGCTTTTGACTGAATACTGAAAATTAACGATCCATGGCAGTTAAAGCTATTCAAACTGTGCAACTGGCAGACTTTTCTGTAGAATTATAAATTTTCTGCATATGAAGTGTAGAGTTTTAGGGAATCACCTGGATGAAGCAGCTTAATCAAGGACTGCAATAGAAAATAGTGTGGGTGAAGAAGTAACAGAAAAAATGAATGCAAAAAGTGTTTCTTCCTCCCCATTACCGCACCTGAAACAAAACCAAAATCACAGCAGCAAGTTACAAGAAAAGGTAAAATGGTTATAATAAAACCCAGGAGAGAGAAGTATGGCTAAATGAGATGGTCAGACTTTAACAAGAAACCTATTACTGATGCTTCTACAACTATCATAATTTAAATAAAACAAGTTGTTACTTTAGGCTGATAGCAGTAAACATACATTCCTTCATAAAGTTACTGTATAGAATCTCGTAACAGATTGGATTGTTTCAGTCTTGAGGAAATTACTACAGCTCAGTAACAGGAAAATGTTGTAACTCGTTAGAATTGTCTCAGAGTCACATTGAAGTAGTGGTGTGTTTTGTTTTGCTTTTCTATTGGTGTGTGTGTGTGTGTGTGTGTGTGTGTGTGTGTGTGTGTATTTTTCTTTTCTAAATTGTTCTGTCCTCTGTTTTCTAAGTTTAAGTTCTTCACAAGGCCACCAAAACCAACAGAACTGTGCAAGTCTGCCCTTGGAGAATGTGTGTTCTTTGGTCTCGCTCTGGGAGCGCAGTGTGATTGCGGACTCAGAATGGCTGGGATGGAAGATTTCCTGCCTAAGTAATATGGACATTGTGGGTGTCCTCTGAGTCCATGTGTCACGTTCTCAGAAACAGTAATGTTTGTTGCAAGCACATTGCAATGTTGGCTATATCTGGTCATTGAAATATTCTTCTTTTTTCTTAAGCCAAAACAAGCATGAAGATCATAAAATCATCAAGGGCCAATTTTCCGTTGCTGTTGTCTTTCTGTACACACACTATTAGAATTTGTGAAGAGCTGTTGGTTGTTAGGAGTGCCCCTCTCCTCCTGTCTTAAATTCAGCTGCCACAAAATGTGGTTTGGCTGTGCATTCCTTTAAAAAAGCTGAATGAAAAAGGCCTTTTCTTCTGCCTTTTGCAGTCCTGTTCTCTGCAGTGCTCTACTCCATACTAGGATGATGCTTCCTAAAGTTGAAGGAACTGTGCAGTGCCCATAAGTATAATATATTAAACAAAAAAAATTGCCATCCGTGCTCACTGAAGTAGTTTCACAGATTTTAGCTCATCTAGAATTATCTCTTCCTGGCGCAACTGCTTCTATGTTCGTACTGCACACTGTTTGAGATGGAGCAAATCCTATAACAAAACAGTTAATTTTAATCAGAACTACTTGTCCAGTCCATTTTGCTGTACATGTACAATGAGAACAAGAAGATCTCTCCTAGTCTTGTGTTGCTTTTAGGTTGTTTACACTTACTAGCAATTTTGGTCGTCTTGAGACTTCAGATGAAAGCAAATTCTACCGTGTGTTTCTTTGTTCGTTAGTTAAAAAAACAGAGAAGTTAAGAAAGTGAATGATTCTTGAAGAATCTTATTTTACATGGAAGGATCTTTATATAAGCATTTTGTAAGTATGGGAAAGAAATCCACACAATTTCTTTTGTTCAGGGGCAAATTCCACCTGTCTATTGATAACTACAGTAAAAGAATTACTGCAATCACATGTCCTTTACAATTGTGCAATACAGGCTAAATTTTTTTTTCCAGTAGTGTTGGAATTCTTTTAATTTTTGATTTTGATTGAGCTGAGGAATAAGGAGCATAAGGAATGATAATTTCATTTTTTTTTTTAAAGGACCTGCTGTTGTTGATCTGGTATCTGTCTGAGAGTTGTTTTCAGTAAGAACGATTGATATAAACCCTATGGACTCTTGTTTTTATTCCTGTTGGAATGTTGCTGGTGTACAAAATCCTTCCTATGGTAAAAGAAGAACAAGTCAGAAACTGCCTCATGAGGCTGTGATACGTTACAGGTGGGTCAGGGTGATCCCTGATAGATGTACAGAGTGGGAGAAGAACTCCTTGAGATCAACCCTGCCCGGGAGAACTTAGTGGGTCCTGGTAGATGAAAAACTTAACATGCGCAATTACTGCTGGTCTTCTGGGCTGCATCGGAAGAGATGGAGAAGAGAAGGATTTGAGGAAACTTCGTGGTGGTGTGAGGGGAGTTTATAAGCAGGAAAGAGACAGACTTTGCACAGTCTGATGGCTTTAAACTGAAAGAGGAGAGGTTGAGGTCAGAGGAGCGCTTCATCCTGCGACTTTTGATGTTTTCTTCAGATCACCACTGTTGAGGAGTGCTTCACTGTGCAGTTAGATACTTTCTTCTGATCACCACCCTTAGGAGCTCTGAAGGGTCTTGAGTTGGGCATGTGATGCTGCATAATAGAGGAGGCAGCTGGAGGGTGCTGTTGCCACAGGGAAGGCTGTCACACTCAAAGAAGTGGGTACAGCATTAAAGCTGAGCTCCTGAATGGATCAATTCTCAGAGAAATTTCACATCTTGACTATTGCAACCCACCCCAGCCTGGAATCTTTCAAGGCCATCCTCCTTTGGTAGAGGACAATGGTTGTTGTTCCTTCTCCTGCTATTTCTTTATTGAAATACTTTGTTCTTTTTGCTGGGAGTAGCTGCTGTTTTGTCTCTTAGTCATTCCTGTTAGTTCTTTGGTTTCATCACTTCATTTTCTAATTACAGCAGTTTCTTAGGCTTTTTTTTTTTTTTTTTTTCCTTCAATTTGTTTTTTAATGACCCCGTGTGATGGAGCAGAGTAAACTTTAGGTCAGTTCTTCCTCTCGGAGGGGATGGAGAGTGAAGTGCTGCCTCACTGTTTTCCACAGCCCTCATACTCCTCACTGAGGAGCTGTACCAGAGAAACAGCTGAGCAGGGATCAGCAATGACAGCATCACATCTTTGCCCTTGGAAATAAAAACTGGACAAGTCACAGTGTACTCATGGTTGCATGTGATTTATGAACTGCATGTTTGATCTAAACCCTCCAAGCAGCTGTAACATGGATGCATCACCTCCAACTCTCTCATCATCTTTGGCACGTCCCATAGTTCTTGCTGAAGTCATTCTTGCTGCTGGAGCTACTCAGGGGCAGCCAATGGCTCCTGATGTTGTGCTGCAGTCTTTACTGTCTTCCAGTGGGTGAGAGCTTGTGCTGGAACAGGCTGCTTCTTCTGCATGGCAGATGCTGCCTTCCTTCCAGCTTATGCTTTAAGGCTCTTACAAGCAGAGCTCCAGAACGGTGCAGTCAATTTTCAGTTCCCTCATTGAAGTTTACCATTCAATGCAGATGAGAAAATATTTCTCCAGGGAAATGCAGGAATCCAGAGATTAGGCACAGCCTGACAGAGAAGCAAGGAAGCACCCAACTCTGGAGCACCTGCATGTAGACAGCTGCACTGCCTGGGGCATGGATGCCCAACTTTGGCTTGCTGGGCCCCACTGAGTGAAAAGAAATTATCTAGGGCTGCATATATGTAGGTTGCTCTGAAAGTATCATGTGCTCTTTATTTCCGTGGAAACTACCAACAGATACAAAGAGCACAGTAACACTGATAGAGGAGATGCTCAGCTAAGAGCACTATTTTTCAACGTAGTCACCACCATTAGTTGTGCGTTTTTGCCAGTGATGAATAAGAGCCTGCATGCTGTGCTTGTAAAAATCTGCATGAGCAGAGGTGCCACTGCTGAAATACACTACCTACCACCTCACTGTGCTTATATCCACTGTTTGGTCTCCACAAACATTCAGCAAGCATCAATGTCAGTAGGTGCCATTTTTCCTGTATTCAGGGAGTTCAGTGCCCTCTTTGCTTCATACACACTTCCATCTCAGACACCATTCTGTCAGAATGGGAAGGTTCAGCCTCTACTGCCATCCCATCAACATCTGCCTCTGATGTTGTGGGCCAACATAATAGAATAGGAGGCATTACTTTCAGAGCAGCTCTCATAAGATATATAATTAATGTCTGTAAGTAACAAAACTTATTTTAATGTTTAATATTTTATTATTACAACAAAAAAGAGCAACAAATCTATAAAACCAGTGGGATATGTGACCCTGTTTTTGTGACACTGATGCATCAGTTTGGTTCAGTGGCAGTGGCTGCAATTTTCAGTGAGCTCACAGGTGTTCATCAGAGATTTCTGGTAAAATTTTACACCTCCTTGAAAATAATTGTTTGCAGATATATGCACTGCCAAAAGGCAGTGACATGAATAAGGCTGCAAAGCGAGGGCTGATTTTCTCTGGTGATAAAGAGCTTATATAAGTCTGGTGAAGAGACATGATCAGATTTTTGAGTTGCATGTCTGATTGCAACTTGATACATTTCATTTTAAAATGTGAGGAAATGTGTTTATGTTGACTGAAAATGGAGTTCCAAATATATATAAAAAAAAAGTCTTTTTTTTTTTTTTTTTTTTTTTTTTTTTTTTTTTGCATTCTAGAAACCTATTCTCAAATTTCCTTCTCAAAAGAGAAAGCCTGCATACTTTTCACTGTTTGCAGGACTACGGTTAGTTGATGTATCGCAATGCATACAATTATTTGCCCTAAGTGAGTCGGCACTGCACGGTGCCCTCACCATGCCCTGGATTCAGAAGGAATGGGTTTGGGAAAGCCATGTTTGTTTTTTGTTTTCTGTTTTCCTTTTTTGCTTTCCATTTTCTCTAAGCTTTTGTGCTGGTGAGTTCTGCAGTGAAAGCAAGATCTTTGTGCTGCCAACAAGCACCCATTCTTCTTTGGTCTTTGGACTTTGAGGGATGAGATGGACAGGGCAAGACAGAAGGCTCCAGGAACCGGGGCAGAGAGGGCTGGAACCAGGAAAATGCTCTGAGCTGCCTGCTGACCCTAGCATCTGGGTGCAGAAGTCAGAACTGCTGAGTTTTGCTTGACTTGGAAGGAATGGGACAAGGCTCAGAAGGGACAAGACCAATTGTCCTTGTCCTAGTTGAGGATGAAAAGAGATCTCCCTACATCTAGAAACTCAGGATGTACACAAGAGGTGTTGCGCATGGAAGGCCCCAAGCTGCACAAAGACGTACATCCATCGGGAGTTTGGTGGAGGACTTTCTTTCCTTGCACAGCTCAGGAGAAATCTATCACCATGTGGCCCTGGGGGATGCTTTTGAGAACGTTTCCCTTTGGAATTCAAGGAATTTCCTCTTGTGGGGCAACAGAGCACTCAAAGTGATCTCCAAAATTTTAAAGCGTGTTTTTTCCTGTGACTTTTGCTTGGCATTACTGTTGGAGGTTTATTTATTTTCTAGTAACTCCTCCTGAGGTGAATTCCCAGATGTGGAAATTGTTAGTTGCTTGGCTCTCTGTCACCAAGAATAGTCAAGGAGAAATAGGTGGGAGGAATATGAGGACACTCTAATAGCAGGTAACATTCCTAGCTAATTCCTGATAGCTGCAACTGATTCTAGAAGATATGGGCAGATAGTTTCAGGAGAAATTACAAGATTAAAGCTCTTGATGATGTAATACTACAATATATACTATATATTAGTATACTAATATATATACTATATATATATATATACTATATATATACTATATATAATATATATACTAATATATACTATATATACTATATACCTTGATATTTTTTTGGTAGGACGGGAAAACAGTAGGTTTAGTACTTTTCCCTGTTTCCCTAAAAATGCCATTTAAAAGAATGACTTCATTAATGGTTTTGTCTCAGAGAGGAAATTATGCGATCTCTCCAACACATATTTTTTAAGAGCAGCTAATGGCAAGAGGATTTGAGCACATTAATGGATTTGAATATCCTTTTGCCATTAAAATTAATTGGTCAGCCTGGCAGTTTTTCTTCAACAGACACTGGATAATTCATGTTAATCGCTTGAGTAGAGAAATGATGGCTAAGGGAAAAAATAGAAAAAATAATTCAGAATGCTCATAGTGACTCTGTGTTTGCTGTTTTATTAGCAAGATTTGCTGCTCACTTAATATTCACAAGTAAACAAATTATTTACAAAAGCCGTTTACTCCAAAAGTAGATGCCACCACATACTTTAAAACAGGAAGCATTTGTTGTCACAATAGAAAAGACTTGATTTCAATACACGATAGTCCATGGCATTTTATGTGTAGTTAAATTATGTGCCTTACTCCTATTGTCACCTGTTTTATCACAATTTCCTGTTAAGAAACACTCTTTGTGGAGTTGCACAAAATGAGAATAGTAAAAAGGGCATTGCAGGAGGCAATGCAGAATTTGTGTTGAGTTGTTGCTTCATGTTTGGCCAGACAATGAGCTGCTCAGCTGAAACAATGATCAGCTTGATTAAACCAAAGTCTGTCTCCATTGCTTGCAGGACACATCACCTCAAAAATCCTTGTAATTTTGGCCTTACTTGTATTTTATTTGGAAGGCGTACCCAGACTGGATAAGCTGTTTAGGTATGGTTCAGCAGGGTGGACTTTTTCCCACCAACTTGCTCTTCTTCCCAAAGTGTCCCACTGAAAAAACAAAGTCCTATGAGCACAAATTGAAACACGTGAAATTCCAGCAAAGTAAAAGGAAACAATTGTACTTTGAGGACTGAATACTGTCAGAGGTTGCCCAGAGAGGCTATGGAGTCTCTGTCCTTTGAGTAAGTTACTGTTCAATGGAACACAATGCTGGGCAACCAGCTCAAACTGTGGCCTAGATAATCTGGAGACATTCACCAGCCCCACAGTTTTGTGATTGAGTCTGTGATTCTGTGAAGTGCTCAGTGACTCAAGGCAGCAACAGCTGGCCAGAGGGTGCCTGGAAGTGAGAGAAGGAAACTGTCCCTCTTTAATTTCCAAATACTTAATAAACAGAGTAACACTCTACAGAAAAATACAGGGTGGAATGCTGATAATGCTGATATTCTTAAACCAGATAACACATGAAGAGACTTCAGGTTTTTACCAGACTGAGAAGCAGTGTTCAGCTCTGTAAACTTTGTAGAGAATGTGCCTTTCATAAGAGCATGCTGCACATTGGACAACTGGAGCTGGTGGTCTGTAGGCTTCAAGGAGTTTCTTCATGAGAGGTAAACTGAGAGTAAAGAGTGACACGAAGCAAAATGGGCTTTCTGTGCTATCCTTCCCATCTTGCCCATGAGGAAGCAGAAGGAAAAGGACCCCAAACAGCTTAAAGATAAGAACAAGAAGCTCAAAGAGAGTAGAAGATTTCTGTTCTGAAGAAACGAAGAGACATCATGGCTAGGAGTGATGGTCAACTCTCCTGTCTTTGTAATATGCTTTAATGCATTCACTGATTTTTTTTTGTTGTTGTTCTCTATCAGTTTTAAAGAGCTCTAAAACAAGTGCCTACATTCCAAATTTATAGATGGGTAAACTGACGCACAGCATCAGTCTGAACTGTGGGATTATATAGCAGTCCAGTAGAAGGATTCCAGTGGAAATCCATAGTATGCTGCCTTCTTCAGGCCTCTCAGCAGTAGGTGTTTGCATGGACAAAGGAGAGAATCTTCTGAGGTGGTACTATTTCCTCTTTCCTGCCCTTCCCCCTCCCCCCCAAATAAGAGATTAGAACCACCTAAAACTTACTTCAGTTTTATGCAGTCTACCTCCTCTGTGACTGGCATTGCACTTGTTCTGAGATCTAAGTCTGTACTAGATTTACTTCCGTGGTATGTTGATCTCCATCTGAGCAACATGATCTTCTTGAAATACTTCATGGTGTTATTTTTTACAGTTACAAAACACATTGTGTTTATCATGCTGTTACTCATAGCAATGCATTCAACTATGTAAAAAGCAGTAAGATAATGCTTCTCTTTCACAAAGATTGTGGGGAAAAAGTCACGGACAATGGTGAAGCCATAGAAGGGTGCCCAGCAGAGAACATAGGCGGTCAAGATGCACATCAGTACCATTACAGTTTTTCTTCTGCATCGAAGCCTCTTCCTGATTTGTTCTGTCTGAAATCCTGGTACGGTTTTAAACCAAAGCTCTCGAGAGATTCTGGCATAACATAAGGTCATGGTAATCACAGGTGCAACAAATTCAATGCCAAAGATGAATAGGAAGTAGGATTTGTAGTACATCTGTTGGTCAACTGGCCAAATTTGACCACAGAAAATTTTCTCCTGATTTTTTACTATAAATAATACAGTTTCAGTAGCAAAGTATGCGGATGGGATAGCTACGAGTATGGAGACAATCCAGACCAAGGCGATCAGGATGGTTGCTGTTTGGTAATTCATGCGTGGTTTCAGTGGGTGAACAATGGCCAGGTACCTAGAACAGACAAATACACTCAAAGTGAAGTCTGTAAACAGCATTAACCAGAGCACAGTTCAAAATACATGTGGACAGAATGAAGCAGAAGGGAACTGCTGTGATTGTTGGAGATTGACATAGTCATCTATGAGGAGTTAATAAATTTGGCCAAAGTATCAGCCTAGAATGGAGATCCTAAACCAGGACAGGAGTTCTGGAGCAAGTAGCTGAGGAGTTTGTTAAGATAGCAGGTCTTTGGCAATCTGAAAACCTGACTGCATATTAGGAACCCAGTCTTAAACTCCCACCTGCTCACAAAGTCAAACTGAAAAAGATGTAATGTTGTCTCATAAACCTTTCTGGTTTTAACAGGAATCATGCATTTGGGAGTTATGGATAGACTGGAAGAAAAGAAAGAGAGGGAATATTCCTATTACTGACAAATACGTTAGCAGGAGCTAACACAGTGTGAGGTGACAGTGTGTCCAGGACACAGCATGATACAGCATCTGGAATACTTTGGTGGGCAGCACACCTATAGGTAAGTGTTTAAAAATGTACCTAGTCAGGTCAGGTAAAAGCACAAATACATGGAAGGAGGAGAACAATTTGCCTACGCAGAGAACTATTTGAATCTATATATATATATATTTAACATACATGACAGTGCTTCCATTATTTGCTCTGTTAATCCTTGAAGTGAAAAGAGTTGAAGCTGACACTAGCAATGGTTACAGGTGGTTTTCCAGCCACCAGCAAAGGACTGTATGTCCATTTTCTGCTCACACACATTTTTGTTTAGAGTGCTGGAGGTGATTGTTGCTAATAATTAATCTCAAATATGCTTTGTTAAGTAGTATGTGCCATCCTGTACAAGTTGAGTTAGGTGCTAGCACTTCTTATTACTGTAAAGCTGCACAATGCACTGCAGAGCATCACCAACAAGTATAAAGAAATGGAAGTATGATGCTTGCAAGACCAATCAAGTGCCCTTGATTCAGTTAAAAAAGGGCTTAGGACCAAATTGCATTCACTCTGAGTTGCAGGACTCTGGTTTTTTTTTGTTTTGTTTTTCCTAATATTTGGTAGAAGTTGGGAAGGTTATTTTTTAAGAAGCTGCAGGTATAAGATGAGCTTACATTAGAATGCTCTCTAACCCAGACAGATGAGATATACTGCGAAGAGGAAATTTTTATCAGAGAAATTCCAGAGCTCCCAGTGCAGTTGTATTTGACACAAAGGACTGTTTGAAACAGTGGCATTTCTCATTCATTCAGAGGCTCTTCTGTCCATATATATCATATACACAGATAGCATCCACAGGATTTATTCATTCTAAAATAAAATGGAGAGTCAGTAGGGCTTTTCACAAGACAGATCTTGGAAGCAGATAAATTGCTCATTGCTTTTAACACCACAGGCTAGATGTCAAGGGTCAGCAGAATTATTCAGCTTCATTGTGGAGCTGATAAATGAGTATTTTTAGATCAGGTCTTGTGGAAAGAATATTAACTTGTGGGATAATGTGTATGTAGTCATAGGTGTGCATATCAGCTCAGCACGTTTGGCTGAATGGGGAAATCTCCACGGCAGAATCAGAGGAGAGCTTTTGTGATGGATTTCCTGGTTGCCATTGCTTACCACACTTTGCTGTCACTGTGGAATGGTGCTGGAACACACAAACTGGATTTAGATGAAACTGCACTGGAAGATGTGATCCAAAAGAGCATTTAAAACATGCTAGGTGCTCGTGAGTGTTCAGTCCAGGAAACCCAGCTGCAGCCAACCTCCCCTTCTCCTGAACATTAACAGCATGGACATTAGGCACTTAGCACAACATTCTCCTCTTCTGATCTTCTCCATTCACACTGCATTATTCTTTAAGTTTTTGAAATTCTTGCATGTTTTCTGCAAATAGACATCCAGGTAGATGAAGAGGAGTCAGACCTGTGGCAAGTCCTACAGGTCAGGATTACCCTCTCTATACAGGGAACCTTTTAAAATGGCCTAAATATGTGAAGCGAAATTTAATAGGGGCTAAAGTTCACTACACACACGACATAACTAACATGGCTGTGAAATGAATTGTCTTTATGTTTACTAATTCAAAAGCTCACACATAACAGACAATGAAACCAAAACAAAGTGAATGAAGTTCAATGATTACACAATGAACTTCAGTGATTAATTATTAATTATAGGGTTGTTTTTAAAGATGTGTGGGGAGATATGCTAGAAATCTTATTTCCTTTCAGACATAAGGGCTCAGTGACTTCTATTACTTCCTCAAACTGGGATGCAGTAGAAGGGTTTTTTTAAAAAATAAAAAATAATAATTCAGAAGTAGAAAAAGTAATAGAAAATGGTGATGTGCACATGACAGTGCTAAGAAATTAAAGTTTTATTCCCTAAGATTATGCAAAAGGTACTGTGCTGCAGGCTGATCGAGGATTTGTTTCATAGGAGCTGACTGTCCTTTTCCCCAGAGCAGGCAAAACATTTCAGAACTTCCTCAGAATCTTTCTGCAGATTTTGTGTTGACTTCAACAAAAATTAAACCAGCTGTGCACAAGTCAGCTCTATAACTATCAGCAGGGTTAAACTGATCCTGAGTTATCTTTTGGATCAAGTGCCAAAACCTAGGCAACATTAGGCTAGAATATACAATAGCACATGAGAGAAACTGATCAAAGGCTGGTGGTGGAAATGCTAGTGCAATGAATGGTAAGAAGCTTGAAAGAAATCATACAGCATGTAGATGGATATACAGAGGATATACAGAAATATGTATGATCATACACAAGAGGTGACTTGTAATGGTCTTTGTGTAAACAGTTTACTGTACAGGTCTTTCTGTGAGTTGGTCATGTCAGGCTTATATCAGCATGAAGCTGATCTTCAGCACTTGGGTCTGTCAGAATCCACAGCACACAGGATTAAGAGAATAGGAGTTGTAAGAAAGAGTATAGTTAAATGACTTGTTAAAATTCCTGGAGGGAAAGGCAAGCAGAGAAATATCTCAGGACTACAGCATAAAGCAGGTGTGCTTTATTTTTATTTATGACTACAGCATAAAGCAGCAGTGCATTCAGCTCACACCATTATGAAGGCTGTAAAAAAACCTCTGGAAGGCTGCATTGATGGAGTATTTTATCATTTCCTGGACACTGCAATCACCACTGTTTCATGGGTTCTGTAAATGGCATTTGGATATTTCCTAGCCTGCTGCAATGTCACCCTCAGAGAGCCATGTAAATAGAGAGGAGAGTATTTCAATGAAGAAGGGTGCTAATCATACTTACTGAGCATCCGCTTCTGGGTTGGAGCATCCAGCTAAGACCTCAGTACTATCAAATGTTTAATGTATTGACTATTGAGTTTGCTCAGTAGAGCATGACAGAGAATAACAACCCCATTTTGCAAGCTAGATAGAGGTCTTACCTGTTATTCTCTTTCACACAAAAACTGGGAAAAATACTTTAGAAGTGAGAAAAACATATTCTGTGGAGCAGTAACCCTATTAGGAAACTCACCTGTTAAATTCTGTAGTAACCAGTCAACTATTTCTCTCTCTGAAGAATACTTACTTCACATTTTGTAGTAAAGGTAGGGCAAAAGGAAAAGCTCTGTAGCCCAGTAATGGAAGTTCCTTAGAGATACATAGTTTGGAGCAGGATTTGGTGAAACACCTTCCTTTTTGGTCTATTGACAGTTTCCAGTTTTGCTGTCTCCTCTTTCCTAAATCTGTTTCAACATTTGAGTTAGATATATTTTTATGGGGGGTGGAGGGGAAGGCTTTAATAAATGAACATTCTTTTCACCTGAAAAGTTTAATCAAGAAATTTCCACTTCGTTTTCTTTGAGATGATCTTATGACCTCATGCGATTAAGCTGTTGCGAAACAAGATACCCAGGTCTGTATAGCACCTACCTTAACGTGACCACATCCTACAGAACAGCTGAGCTTGGTAACAATCTAGAAGTCTGGCTTTCTCCTTGTGCAGTTGTAACTCCTCACCTACCTGTCAACAGCGATAGCCAGGAGAGCGTTGGTAGAAACATAGAGAGAGACAGTCCGTAGGTAGTTGACCGAGGCACAGAGGACATGGCCGTGCTCCCAAGACAGCTGCCGTACCACATAGTAGTCCATCTCAAAGGGGCAGCACACGATGGCAACAATGAAGTCTGAGATTGCCAGGTTGGCAATCAGCAGGTTGGTGAGGTTTCGCAGCTTCTTGTAGCGGGCAAGGGCAGCGATGAAGATGAAGTTGCCGATGCCACAGACCAACATGATGCCAACGAGAGCCACCCCGATCACAATCTTGGCTGCAAAGAAGGTGCGCGTTTTGGTCATGTCATCTTCGCTGTCCAGCGGCAGGTCATAATCACTGTAACTGAAATTGAAAGGGAAGGACAAATTTCGCACGGAGGTTAAATCTCCATCATGGAGATTGTAGATTGCAGCAAAGTTGAGACTGACGGTAGCATTTGGGTTATGTTCGTCTTGCTCCAGGACCATGTCTGTCTTCTTTTGACACACGTGGCTTGGCTGACCCTTGGATTTGTGATAAAATTACCCAGGGTGTCAAGGCACAACAGTGGCAGGCAAGAGACCTCATCTAAAGTTTCCTTCTGAGCAGTAAGTCAACGTTCCTTTGTCCCCACGAGATTATAGAGCAACAGCATCATTTATCGTCTTCTGTGGGAACAAAAAGAGGAAAGCATTTCCTGAGAGGAAATTACAGCAAAAATAACGTTCATAGGGGGAAGCAATATCCACCAGATTGTCTCGCAGCTCTATTGCTGTCAGTGCACAGTGGGAAGAAATACTTTGTGAAAGGATGCTTCGGTTATCATAAAATACCTAGAGTTGCATAAGACACTGGTTGTTACACCTGGCAGTTTTATTTACCAAACATGAAATTTTGTTTTTAGCACAGTGTAAAGTGACAGTACAGGAGTGTGCAATCTGCTTCAAATATCTGCCAGCCTTCAAGTCCATGGTGTTGACATCTCTGTGTGAGGTAGAAGAGCTAAAAGGAGATAGCACCTTGGTTTGCTGAGAAGCATCTGATGTCTCTTCAGGGCAAGGCTTTTGCTTTATGCTGGTTGTCTCAGTTAGGGCAATACAATAAACAAGAAAGAAGAGAACTGATGTCCTGGCTTATAAATACATTTCTTAATTAGTAAGAGTTGCCAAGACCCAAGAAAAGAGCAAAGCCAGCACTTTCTTTTTTGGCAGCCATGTAGTGAGTGCTGGGGGAGGGACAACCAGATTTCCAGCCCGCACAATCTATCATTGCTTCTCTCAAACCAGTGTAGTACTGCCAATCTGCATGGACAAGAATTTATCCCATGAACCTTCTTGTAAGGCTTTGCTGCAAAGGCAAACCAGCTGTTCAAAAGGAGTGTGCTTCCACAAACAGTTTCACCCTGAATATTTGAAAAGAGAGAAAGGATACTTCCCTCTTTGCACTGTCTGTTGTACCAAACATTAAAAGCAGGTTTATTTTCCACACTGAGGAAAATATCTAGTCTACTCCTTAATATTGCCTTTCCCTCTGGACCAAAATGCTGAGAAGACTGTATTCTTGCATCCTCCCACATTATGTCTGGGAGTCCCCACACCAGACTCCCAGTTATCAGGACAGTCCTAACCCATCCCAGAAGAGAACTGAGGAGGATTGCTGCTTCTTCTGTATTACAGCAGTGGGTCTTCGGCTCAACAAAGGTACTAAGCAATGCCCACAATGGCTACAAAGGACAGTGTACAGTACAGCTGTTGTTCTCCTTCCCTCCCTAGAGCCACCCTCAGCCCCTCGCGTATTAATGCTTCATAGATTTGAGAGAAACTCTTCTGTACAACTTCTGTCTCCACATTGCTTTTCAGATTGAGAGTTGCAGAACAACTGAACAGCAGAAAGCCAAAGCCTGAAACTAAACAGCATTTCAAACAATTAACTGACATCCCCAAAGCTGACTGGAAGCATGAACCTTCACGAAACACTGGTACTAAACAATTACTTGGACGCAAAATCTGTATATTGGTCATAGCAAGGAGCAACATCTGTTTTAAACAAATGTCTCTGCAAAATATCAGGAAAGATAATTACAATAAATAAAAACAAACACACACAAACTGACATAACACCATCAGGTAACTAACTACCTGCAGTTGCTCTTATCTTCTTCAAGGTCTCTGGGACTCTGGGTGTAGTCTCCTGGATTCTCCCCTGCAAATACGTTGCTGTAACTAAAGCACAGAAGGGATTACTACAAAAGCAGCCAAAGGACTTTGCTGAATGATCATTTCTCTGCCCCGTAGCTCAGAGGGAGGATAGCTCTGCTGTCTCCGTGCATGCATCTAAAGCCTTTTCTCAGTGGGAGGCACCTTGAAGCTGTCCATGCATTTCTAATTTTAAAGAGGCAGTACAATACAGAGACAATACAGCACAGGTCCCCAGCCTTATTTTTCCGCTCTTTAAGTCGCCTGAAAGCAGCGAACAGCAGAGTGTCTTTGTTAATGAATCTGAGCATGGAGGGTATAAAACCCCAGTGTGTGCTTGTTTTTTGAGTTTTGTCTGTGCTGGGAGGCAGCTACCTATACCTGGTGTGAAACAGAAGCAGAATACAAAGCTCTCATTGGGGAGGAGCGGGAGGAAGAAGAGTTTCCCAGGGACCTTTCTCTATGGATATCTCTTGCAGCCATTGTCCTGAAGACTGCTACTGTGGCAGCTTGTGCAGAAAGGAGGGTCAAGAATTGAACAGCCATAAATCAAAGGACTTCTGACAGCTTCCCTTGACCTCTAAGGGAGTTAGTCAGAGTAGCAAAGAGGCAGTGAATCCTTAAGGACATGGTATCCTTTGCTAATGCTGCCTCCACGTTTCTCTGAAGGGTGCTCACCCCAGCAAGAGGTCTTTTTGCTTCCCAGTTCTCCAAAAGAAAAGGAAACACGCTGCAGATCTCCTGTTCTCTTCTGCACCTCTGGTCATCTTCGCCATAGCTGGCATTTTTCAAGGTGTGGAGTTGGAACACACGGCATAGTTCTTGGTATGTGAGACTGTAGGAGGCTATAGGAAGTCTAGAAGAGTGTTAGTTTGCGGAGAACTTATAATTTGATCTGCAGTACACACTTAACGAGACTTAGCTATTGTGAGCTAGTGAGGTCCTACCTCTGAAAGAGGGAATTAGAGCAGTCTGTTAAATGCCTACAGATATGAAATGTCTTTGGATGAGACAGTAATGTGACATTTGTACTAGAAAACCTGTGGAAGGTCAGAGTCTGCACTATCTAGAGCTAGCAGACATCATTGTGAATTTTGCATCCCTTTCACTTGGTTTTATTTTAGCAGTCATTCTAGTAGGTGAAGAGCCTCTGTAGACGTGTTTAATATGCTAAAAAGGTCCAACCAAATGCACAGTGAGCAAATTAGATATGGTCGATTTGTTGAATTCTATCACAAAAAACAATCTTTGAGGAAGAGACAAGGTAGGTCTTGTACATCAGAATCAGGTCTAAAACATTCCTAAAATGGGCCACATATGCTGGAAATAGGCCGTTAGAAAAACTAATGCAAGCTAGCTTTTAATATAGCTCCTGCAAGCTTTACATTAAGAATGCTCGTGTTCTCTTTAAGACTTGTTCAGCTGTCTCACATTAAGTTATCTAGTGGGTCACCCAAGTAACATGATATCTAAATATTTATATTCCTTTAGGCCAGAACCTCAGCTGCTGTAGAACAGTCTATCCCCATTGACTCAAGGCAAGCTGTTGTTGGAGCCCTGTTAACTGCAGCTCCTCCAGATCTGCACTTCATGCTCTATGTGTAGCCGCTGTACAGCTGTTCATCCACCACGGTCCAAATAATTGTGCTATATGTGTCAAGCTGTTTCTTAGAAAATACTGGTAATACCGTGAAATGATGCATTTGGCAAGTACTGTACAAGGCAGTGTTTTGTGGCTGTTGAATTGAAATTGTTGGATAGTGAAACCAAAGGTCCTGAGTGCTGCCTTAAAGATACACAAGTATGCTGAAGCTTAAAAATGGGGCCTAGGGCCCCAATAACTGCCAATAAGGCAACATGCCTTCCTACAGCAAAGGCTAAGGTGGTAGTAGAGGGACTCTAAAGCCACCGGGTGTGTGCAGGATTTCCCAGCTGCAGATGTGGTACAAGAAGTCAAAGGCCACCTTCCAAAAAACCAGAGTCTTTGACATAAATGTGCTCAAAGAGCAGCTCTGTGAGGCATCCAGGCTGCAATATGGGCAGCTATCTGTGCATGGCTGGGACTTCTTCATCCCAGTAGCTTTGTAGCCAGTGAATCTCTTCTAGAGAGAGAGCACTGGGAGGCTTTGGTGTGCCTGAGGGCATTCCTTGCCCACAGCCCATATATGATGATATCCATTTATCTCATGCTTACATTCTATTACGTTGTTTTTCAAAATCTGCATGTAAGTCTGGTGTTGGATTTCTGCATAAGAGTAGGTTTCTCATTCCTAGCTACTTCCCCAATGGTGCCACAACGTTTTAGCAGCACATTTTCTGAGACCAATCAGTTTGACAAATTCAGTCAGAGGAAAAAAAGTCTATTCTTAAAACTATTATGTAAACAACTTGCATTCCTGGGTTTGGTTGGTGTCATTAATATGGTGGCAGTTTGAACAGGGAAATTGTTTGCAGGCTAAATTATGCAAAAAAAAGATTGCAATGCAAAATACTTGTTTAGGGACTTTCAAATAATGAATGTCTAAAGCTAACATTTAGCCTGGTAACAGAGTTAAGGACTCAGGCCTTTTATTTCAAAACAGCAAATGCACCATCTATTGTCCGAATTTTCTTAATTGCTAAATAAATTGGACTCGGAGCTATGTAATTAATCCCTGGAGACTTACATAAGCTTTGCATGAAATGTAACTGGAATATTACGGAGATTGCTAATACAAATCAGTTTGTGAAATGTGACAGGAACTCAATAGAACAATAGCATCAAATATCCTGCTGGTATTCTGGAAAAATGAACAAAAGGTAGCAGTGCACATGGGTTACCACTGTCAGTGTATCTTTGCACAGCATTCCAACCAGACACTCAATTTAGGGACGTTACTGAGAGTGTGCATACTGAGCATACTGGTATGTTCAAGAAGGTTACGTTCAGGAGAAATTATTTAAGATATAAAGGGCTGACGAGAGTTCAGTATCAATCCAAGAAAGAGATTAATGTCGTGTGAAAGCCTTTCAGCAGGTAACGTATGCTGATTATTTCTGCATGCTCTTGAAATGAATCTGGGCCCAACAGAATGATGCTTAATGGCTGTTTCATTTGATGCTGCTCAGAGCATGAAACCACAGTCCTGGTGTCAAGATGAGTCACGACAAGCTGCTATCACACATTATTTCTGCCCTGAAAAGGTTTTATGGTTCTTCAATGTGATTTCACAACTCCAGGGTCAAATCAACCTTCTTCTCGTCATAGTTTTGAAGTCTGAGAGTATCACTGTTGAAGTGATTGCACTGAGAGGAGACGAAAGGTATGTCTCTGTTCCACAAACTAGCTGGAAGTGAAGCAAATCCATCCCAGAAGGTACACATCCATGTTTTGATGCAACAGCTGTGCCCACTCCCAGACACCCCAGGACTGACTGCTGTGTGAGCTACCAGGAATATGGTGGAGCTCATGTGCTGTTGCCTGTCCATGGCACTCTGTGAATACATGCTGGGACTCCCAGTATCTGTAGGGACATAATCACAGACCTGTTGACTAGTGATATCAAAATAAATTGCTAGTTCATTGTGAGAAATAACATTCTGTGGCATACAATACAGAGACCAGCATAATGCTATTTGAGAATCAGAGCATAAGCTGGGAGTTGTGCAACTGGAGCAAGCAGGGTGATTGAGCAGATCACCAGACTGGCACGTTAGCTGCTGCTCTGGGGCTGCAGCAAGATGGCTTGCTGGTGGACTGCCTGCTTTTTTCCACGTTATTCTTCTGAACAAGCTTTTATTTAAATGAGATTGAAATTTTAAGCTTGAAGTTTTCCCAGAGGAGATATCTAATGTAAGGCCAGCTGTCCTTTTCAAATGAAATTATTTATTAATCAAATTATTATCATTAACCACTGGGAGGTACACCTGTAAAATCACTTTAACTGTACAAAAAAAAATCAGTTTCCCAGTCTCGTAGTTTATGCAATCTTGCTGCAGGCAGTTCATTTTGAAGAGAAAAGGATGACAGATTGGAGATTTTGAACACAATTCAGGAAGATTTTTAAAGTTTGTTTCCTCTACTAACGCTCTCTTAAATCACCTTCAGATGCTTTTCTGTCCAGTATCTGACAGAAATACACATACCATCAAAGGTTTCTGTCTTATGAATACAATATTTTACCTTTCACTGTCAGAGATGGCTGCATATTCCAGGTTGATAGCTCCATGTTGAACCTGACCCTGCCGTTAGCCAAAGGTAATTGCAGTGAAAGGTGCTAAAAAGTTGTCCCCTCCTCATTACACAGGGACATTACAGTGGTTTTTTTCTTCCAGGGCAAATGGACTTTCTTGAGCTTTCTGTGTTTCTATGGGCAGAATACTTTTTGGCTGTGTTCTCCTTATGTTTGGCCAACTAGTTAGGGGCTCATTTGCCAAAACCCACAGAAAACTAGACCATGCATGAGTTTACTTCAGCCCACTTAGGAAGGCACAGACACGATGGTGTGAAACACTGTGTGAAAGAGACTTTTGGGATGCAAAGAGCCTACTTCTGTCCCCATCTAAAAAAGACCAGCTTCAAGGCACACTTTGAAAGGACCAGTGCTCCCAGAATATCTCAACTGCCTTTTGTGCCTCAGGGCATAATTTTTTTACAGTGAAACTTGGCATCCTCCAGCCCCATCTCATGTGTACATCTGACTAAAGAGATTAAGTCAGAAAATTCAACATCAGCCAGATGGAAATGTGCCAGCCTGCTCCTGTGAATGAGAGTTCCTCCTCAGCGGCAGTTGTACCAACCATGGAGTCTGGGTATGGCAGATGAGACAGATGAAGAATAAAATGCTGAGAAGTCTCAGCTATGTCAGGAGCAAGTCTTAAACATACTGGCACTTCTTGTGCACCAGAGCAACTTAGGAAGAAACTGCTCTAAGGTCATCTTGAACATTTTAAGGGTTCTTGCAGCTGTCCTTTGGAGTTCCTTCCTCCATCTGCAGGTTGACCAAATCTCTGCATTGATACAGCACTGTCCTTTTCATTTTGCCCAAGGCAGCCTTTTTGCTGTCTTCTGATGCTGATAAGGAAATCTAAAGCTTGAACCATGGCATTGCAAGG